TCTGCTTTGTTAGCGAGATCAGCCGGTTATTACTGTGTGTAATTAAGGTGTTTTTTCGTAATCCCCCTTAATGAGGATTAAGGGGGGTATTTATAACCTTGGGAAACGTGCCCATCCTAGGTTTAGGTTAACCTAGGGCTGATTGGGCTTCCCTCGGAAGTTGGGCCTGGGTGGCCGGTTTCTCCATTAGGCATGGAGTATGCCACATGTCATGACATAATAGGTCCAAGGTGGACGAATAAGCGCGTGCCACGTGGCAAGCCCTGACAGTTCCAACTGGGGGACACTTGGCAAGACCTGATTGGCCTACGTGGCGCATTCCGATTGGTGGGAGCAAAATCCCCTAATCAGTACTTACATTGATAAAGTACTGGCATGATTCAACATGGAGAATTCCAAAAGAGGGCACCCACCCATGTCCCATGGCGTGACTCTCAGCAAGAAACAGTGTCCACAGACACCTGTTGAGCGAGAGAGAATGGATCAGATTCCATATGCTTCGTTAATTGGGTCGATCATGTATGCCATGATATGTACTAGGCCAGATGTATCGTATGCTTTAAGCGCTACGAGCCGATACCAATCAAACCTAAGAGAGGAGCATTGGACCAAATCCTTACTCCCACCATAGACCGAAATTTATCCTTGTTCCTTTTCAGGTACTTTAGGATATTCTTGGCCACATTCCAATGCCCCTTTCTTAGGTTGATTAGTATCAACTCGTAGCACTCAAGGCATACGATACATCCGGCCTAGTACATATCATGGCATACATGATCGATCCAATAAGCGAAGCATATGGAAACTGACTCATCCTCTCTCGCTCATCCGGTGTCTTCAGACACTATGTCTTGCTGAGAGTTATGTGATGTGACATGGATAGGTGGCTTCTTTTGGCTTCCTCCATATTGAATCGTGCCATTACCATATAGATATAAGTACTTTGGCTCAATCTAATTATTTATTTAGATCAATCCCGATAGATCTTGATGCCCAATATGTATTGTGCCTCTCCCAAGTCTTTCATTGAAAAACACTTTCCATGCCAAGCCTTTACAGACTCAAACATTAGAATGCTATTTCCAATGAGCAATATGTCATTGACATATAAGACAAGGAATGCAATGTCACTCCCACTGAGTTTCTTGTATACAAGACTCATCTAGATTCTTGATAAAACTAAACTCACTAATGGCTTCATTGAATCGCAGATTCCAACTTTTGCTTGCCTACTTTAGTTCGTAAATGGACTTCTTAAGCTTGCATACCTTCCCAACAATGTTTGGATCTACAAAACCTTCCGGCTGTGGCATGTACAAACTTCCCAAATCCCATTAAGGAAGGCGGTTTTGACATTCATTTGTCATATCTCATAATCATTATATGCGGAAATTGCTAAGATAATCCGGACCATGAATTTGACTTAAACATGGCGACTAGCAAAAAGGTTTCATCATAATCAACACCATGAATTTTTCTGTAACCTTTTGCCACCAATCTAGCTTTGTAAACATATACATTTCCATCTTTGTCGGTATTCAACTTGAAAATTCATTTACAACCTATAGGTGTGTAACCTTCGGGCAAATCAACCAAGTCACAGACTTGATTTTGAACGAGGCGTGAAATCAATCAAGTTACAAGTTCGAGTTAGGCCATAGCCTCCCATTAGCCTAGCCATCAGAGGGCTAGGCTATCTCGAGCTAGCATGTGCATGGCAATGCTAGTCGCAAGCCTAGCATGTTAGGCGTGCTAAGCCCTTGCATGCTAGCTAGCCACCGCAAGCATCGCAACCTTGCGTGTGTGCTAGCATGCCATGCGCCCAGCCATCGCAAGGTTAGGCCTTGCTAGCATGCTAGGCGCTGGCAGCAACAGCATGGCACAACACCACGCACCAAGCAGCAGCGAGGCATTGCGTGCTGGCTGGGTGCGCATGCATGTTGGCTATATGCGTGTGTGTGCGTGTGTCTCACATAGCAGCGCCCAGCACCATGCACCAAGCAGCAGCGAAGCAATGCGTGCTGGCTAGCCTTGTGCTGGTTGGCTGCGCATTCATACGGGCTGTGTGCGTGTGTGCTAGCTGGCTGGCCAGGCTACCCAGCCTTGGTGCTAGGCGCCAGCTGGCAGCCTTGGTAGCTAAGGCAGGCTGCCAGCCAGCCACTTGGATGAGGAAAGCCGGTTTTCTTATGGGGAACAAGGGTGTGAGCTTTGCATTGGGGAGCAAGGCTATTGTCCCCCTTGGAAATGGTCCTCACCTAATCTCTCATCCTCCTTGTGCCACTTGTAACTTATTAATTGAATTGCAATTTTATTTTTATTTTAATTAAATAAAATGGGATAATTGCAGATCACCCACATTGATTGAGAATGGGAATTCAAGGTTCATTTCCCTATAAATACCAAGATTTTGGGATTTGGGAAGAACACTTGAGTGGAACTAAAAAGGCATCTCCTTAGAAAAGTGAGAAAACTTTAAGTTCGTAAACCTCTAGTTTTTTTGGTCGGGTCCCGACTAACCTTCGGGACTTGGACCGTTCGGGTCGGTTTCGTGGGTACGAGCCGACGGAGACCTTCACATTTGCGGGGTTGAAGTTTTGAAGTAAGAGCTCGGGATTCGAGAGAAGCATGCGTCGAGGGTAAGAATGTCTTTTCCTTCTCTATCTTAATTGTTGTTTAATTTATGATTGCATGCTTAGTCGCTTTAATTAGTGTGTGGGTCTTGGGTGGGTTTCTTCTTCCGCGTAAAGTCGGACTCTAACGAAACCTAACAGTGGTATCAGAGCCGCGCTCACTTTAATTATTGTGACTTATAATTAATTAAGGTGATTTAAAATGGATTTAAATTTCTGATTATGCTTTCTAATTGGATTAGAAGCTCGTTTTAATTATTTTAATCTCGTATTTTTTACTAATTTGGCTGATGAACCCAGATTTCGACTTTAAAGTAATGAATTTTGGGTAGAATCGATGTTCTAAATCGTTTCTGACCCTTTTAGGATTGTCTAGAAGCCAAAATCCACTTAGAAATATGTTTATTGAGGGTTTTTTCGTTTTTTAACGAAAAATTTTAAATGTCTTAACCTTGATTAATTATTGCATGTTGAAGGTAGATTAAATGTATGGTTGCATCCCTAATCTATTGCAATTATAAACCTCATTAAGCATGTTTATGAAGTCATAATTGGTGCTTAATTTGGTGTGTTCATTTTTCACATAAACTTGAATTTTTCACATTGTTGCAAATAAATTGCTTCAAGTGTGAATGTTTATGGTGAATTTGCAATTTTGAAGCCCCTAAAAATTTCAAAGATTCAATCTTTAATTGTTTATTTGGTTGGAACTTTGATTGCTAAATTTCATGTTGAACTAATTTTTGGATTTAATCCTTTTTTGTGTTGATTAAAGTCCTTAAAGTTCAAAACTTGTGATTGAATTTTGATTAATCTTCATATTAGAAGATGCAATTTTTCAATTTTACACAAGTTATTGTTGGAAAAATTTTCATTGGATGAAAGGGTTTATTTTTCCAACCCCTTTAATTTTGTCAAATCTCATCATTAATTTTGATTAAATTAATTATGAGTGTAGCCCATCAATTTTTTATAGCATAAGAAAGACCTAAATTATTTTAAGAATGGTTCTTTAATAATTTAGGCTTGTGCACCATTAAAAATTGAATTTAATTAAGTTTGACTTGTTTTAATATCATTTTTCGCCTAAATTGATTTTAAAATAAATTTAGAATTAATTTAATGTCACACGTATAACGGGATTAAAATCCCGAGAAAAAGCACTCAAATCGAGGCAAAACACCCAAGCGCCACCAAGGCTAGTCGGGCTGCTCTCACAGCCCACATGTGGCTGCCTTAGGTGCACACAAGGGTGCTCCACCTCAAATTGTTGTTGTTGTTATGTGGTTGGGCTCATGTGTGTGCTGCTGTGTGCGTGGTGCGTGGCGGATGGCTGCTGGCCATGCTTGTGCGTGCTGTTGGGTAGCCAGCATGCGTAGCATCCGCAACAAGCTGCTGGTGCCAGCAAGCGTGGCATGCGTTGCTAGGCATGCATGCCAGCACCTAGCACAGACAACCGCATCTCCCAAGTGCTGTTAGGCAGCCATGGTGCGATCCCACGTTTTTTTGGGTGGGTCTATTTCTTGCTTGAATTGTGCTATCGTTTTTTGCAAAATTTTTCCGTTTTAATTTATTTAATTATTTTACGAGGCTAGGCCTCGGTTTTTCCGGCTTTTGCAAAATTTTAATTTTGACAAAATTTGGGTTAACCTGCTTAATTAATTGGATTAATTAAGTTGGATGCGGAATTTAGTGGGAGCTTCGTTAATTGCATGAAATAATTGCGTCTTAATTACATAAAATGTTAAACAACTTTGATTAGTTTTAATTAGGCGCGTTAATTGGATTAACCACCTAAGTTAGTTACTAGTTCGCGCGCGTTATGCATTGTTACTTGTTTTTCGTTCTAAAATGCATGGGACATTCACATATAGTGAATGGATGAATGGAAGATATATTGTTTCACAGGTTTCGTGAAAAATGGCAACTAGTGGGGTCTGATTAGGATAGTAAATACGGATTGCGATCCGTTATGTATTTTTGTAAATCTAAATACGGTCTGCGTACCGTTGCGTATTTTTGTACCTTAATATTTAGATTCACTACTACAAAAAAGGCCAAAGTGACCTGTCATAAATGCCATAAAAGACCTGTTTAGAGGAGGTCTCTAGCTCACAGGTCTCTTAGATAAGGAGACCTATTCAATACAATCAAAGAGACTTGTTACGTAGCGAAACAGGTCTCTTTCGATGTAATTGTGTCATATATCTATGAAGGCTAAGAGACCTATTATTGAACATAACAATTCTCTTTTAACATTAATTTTAAAATAAATAAATAAATTTTGATAATTTATTTATTAATTTGTAATTATTGTACTAAAAAGGCGAGAAATTGTAAATTAAAAAATGAAACAATCAGATAAACTTATTATTAAAATTTACATGTATATATCTTTCAAAAAAAAATTTACATGTATATAAAAAAAATTGTTGAAATAATTTACAAGTACTTATATAAGAACTTATTGGAATAATTTACGAGTACACCATAACCAACAACTCTCATTTTATTCAAAAGTGAACCCAACATATCCTTGCTTGGTAATTTCTTTAGCCCTCCATACATCAACTTCCTTGATCTGGCTTCTTAAAATGCTCATCAGCCTGTACACCATTTAGAAAATCATTAAAAAAAAAAAAACTCCAAGGCTCATAATTAATTCTGGTAAAAAACTTAATATCAAGAACAAAAAACCTTAGTAAGTAGTGATTTTACTGATTTAGCAACACCTCTCTTCCTTTTTCTCAATAGCCTATTACTTGCATTTGACTTACTAATCCCTCAACAAATTTGTATTTCCTTCGATCGAATTTATCTTTCAGCTGTTAAACATGACAGAAACTTTATATGATGTTCACCAATTTACCACTCAAAATCAAACCTTTTATTCGATGTTCACCAATCTACCACTCAAAAGTAAACCTTTTATACGATGTTCACCAAAAAACAGAAAAGGCTCCAACCAATTATGTAAAGTATACAAGATATCTACACAGCTAAACTCATCAGTTTACTTGGTGAAGACACTTACCTCCAAACCAATCAGTTTACTACTGGTCAGATATTTGATATTAACAGTTGCCCCTCTTCTCCCCTCCTCATCACCTAATAAAGAACAGTAAAAAAAAGATGCACAAATGAGACTCAAAACATTAATAGAATTTCTAAAAAAATTAATAGTAACATAAACTTCAAAGCAAACTAATTTGAATATGTATTTGCTACCGATAAGCTTGATGTATATATGTGCCATTTCGCAGGATTAAGAGTGGATTGACTATTATAGAAGTACTCCTTGAAAAATATGGTAAAAGAAATGAGCTTATAAATTTAACAAAGAAGACAAATGTACATAAAATTTTTATTGAAATTATGTATTCAGAGTAATGTAAATTGTGTACAGTTCTTAAACTTGTAATTAAATTGTAAACATTTCTAAATCAAATCTTTTATTCGATGTTCACCAATTTACCTCTCAAAATCTAATCTCACTCTTTTTTCAAATTTTACCAATTAACATTCAAATATCAAAATTCTTTAAATCCATCAATTCAAGTTCACCAATAATTTACTACTCGATAACCAATTACATCAAACCCATAATGCAATATTCACTAATCACCACTAAATCAAAACTTTTAACAAAATCTAAAATAAAAAAAAAATATTCCAGCAACTTAAAAGAGAAATTCCTGTAAAAGATTAGCAATTGTTTCAATTGTAGAAATTATGCTAATTAATCTAATAAACTGATCAATGTAAATGTTACCGAACCTGCATCTCTCTTAAACTTGAATTGCTTGTATTAATTTCTCCATTGATTTCAACTTCAAATGATTACGATTGCTTCATTAAAAAATCTGCATAATCACAACTACAATTGCAATAAACCTCTTCATATCACCACTAAATAGATCTCCGATCCTACTTTACGATCATGAACTTTCTACCAAAACCAGAATTAAGAACATTTCAATGAATATTTGACGAAAAAAATGAAATCCTAGGAGAAAGAAAGTGGGGAAACCTTTTAAAGAGATAGTTCATAGATTAACAACTAAGAGCCAAAGATAATCCATAATAGAACAACGAGAATGGAGGGTGGTGAGTCGCACCGATCAACAGACGACCTTGTTTTGCCTTTGCGTGTTTGTTGTACGGCGCGACCACGAACGCTGTCAACTAAACGACAGTCGTATTCCCAAATTATATGTATCGAACGACGAACGTCGGTTGTGGCGACCCTAAAAATTGGACGATCGATGGTTGGTGGCAATTTCTTCCTTGGATAGCTTCAATGGAGGAAGAAAGTGAAAGAGAGAAAGGAAGGGGAAGACCGAAGACCTATTTAATTAAGGTGAGGAAGAGGAGAGAGAAAAGGAAGGTAAACAAGTTACGATTAGGCGAGGGTTGGTTTGCTTTTAGAAAAGAAATAGTGATTGCCTTATAATATATACGCACATAAGAGACCTGTTAAAATCAATATGGGGTCTCTTTTGCCACTCCCTCAATCTTCTACGTGGGCCCTTTGACACATTAGAGACCTGTTATCGCTAATATCATATCTCTTATGTCAAAGAGACCTTTTGTATTAGCTAACAGGTCTTTTATCATAGGTCTCTTTGACCATTTTTGTAGTAGTGATTAATCCTAGTCGTAGTTGCTAGTAATTTTATTTTGGCAAAGATGTCTCAAGATGGCGTTTCTATGAAGACGAGCCAAGATGAAAACTCTTGAAGATTTGAAGATTTCAAGGGGTCATGCAAGTTGCCAAATGCATCTTATTTCATGTTTTCTATATATAATTGTTCTTATATATGTGAATGATATGTTAGGTGCATGTTTAGGATTTCAAATGTTGCGATGATTAATTGAGTTCACTTAAATCAAACAACATAGAAACCCTAGGTCCCTAAAATATGGAGCTAAAATATTCTGATAGGCGTGTCGCATACCTAACAAAAATAACCTAACTAAGTAAGGATCGAATCCCAAGAGATTAAGGTTCACCGAATTAAATAGACTCAAATTATCACTATGCAAGTAACAATCAATGGTGAAATATTCTAAGAACTAATATATAAAGAACTCAATAAATCGAAAGAATGTGATAAATCATTGAACTAAAACATCCAAGATCAAGTATCACCACAATTACGATCAATGCAATTATCTATCTACCCCTAGCATACAAATCCAATTAACATGGGGAAAAGCAAACCCTAATCAATACCAAGGACCTCTCTCGAGTATTAATGGCTTCTCTAACCACAATCAAGCCTATTCTCATGGAATCATGCAAATTAGAGACATTAGATGCTTTACTTCGCTTCCCAATTATCAATTCAACTACCCTCGTGATGAATCTTAAACCCTAAACTGATTTAATCAAATCCGTTAAAACCCAACTCTCATTATAATTAAAACTATGGAATAATAACAATACTAATTATCTCTAATCTAATATTGGCATAATCACAATCAAATTAGCATAAATAATCGCAATTGTTATTAGAGAATTTAAAGAATCAATTCATGCATCAATCACAATTGGGCTACCCTAGATCTTGGAATATAAAAACTACTCACACATATTAGCAACCCCTAAAACAATAATCAATGGAGAAAACATAATTAAAAACAACAATAATTGAAAGAGAAGAGAAAATAGATGAATACCAATGATGCTTCAATTGAAATAACTCAAATTGTTGATGAACAATAATTAAATCTAACGAGTAATTAAAATGCTTGAAAGAAGGTAACTAGGGTTCTAGAGAGGGAAAAATAAAGCTTAAGGAATTAACTCCGTGTTTTCTAATTGTGATTACAAAGGGTATTTATACCCTTAAAAAGATAAAAATTCGAAAATAAGTAAAACCGGCTCCGCGAAACAGTGCATGGTCTAACCGGGCAAGAGGTGCCCGATCGGGCAGCAGGGATACGGCATTGCACTGCTTCCCTGATCTTCTTCTCCCTTCCGCCCGGTCCCACTGGCCGATGGTGCCTGATCGAGCGCGAGGCTCATCTCCTAAATTGATTGCTGCCTTTTGATATTCAAACGCTACTCCTATTCTTTAGTGCCCGGTCCAACCGGGCGAGACATGCCCAACCAGGCACTTAGAAGCTGCAACATATACTTCGTATTCTGCTCATCCTTCTTTGCCCTGTTTGACCAGGCAAGCTCGGGTCAACAGGGCATGGGGGAAACCTTCTTCTTCGTGCACTAACTTCTTCTATAAACATCCAAAACATGCCTGATTCATCCAAGAAACTTCACACTCCTATAAAATTCACAAAAATTCATCGAACACAGTAGAGAAGAGATTGTTAGCGAGAATTGGCTCCAAAGAGCCTAAAACTATGCAAGAATACATTGTAAAATCGGGATAAATCATGGTATAAAACACGTACATCAAATTCCCCCAAGCTAACCTTTTGCTTGTCCTCAAGCAAGGCAATAAAAAATAACAAACAACCAAATAAACATACTTCACCCCATAATGCAATTTTAAACAAAGGACTCAAAATCGAAATCAAACAAACAAGCATCATAGCCAACCAATCAAATCACTCAAACCATCAATCAACCTAAATAGTTTTCAAGAGAAATCAACCATGTACAACTCAAGAATCGATGACTAGAATATCTCACCTTGGTGGTCACTCAACACACTATTTATGTGGCAAGCTAAAAATGAGCTCGATCTCTCACCATCCCCACCAATAATGCAAACCCCCTGTCTCACAACACTCGCGTGTTTAAAGGGTTATATTATCGCTCAACCTAGTCAAATGTCGACTCGAAATGTGACATATACTCCAGCATTTTGACAAAAGACTCGTTTCACATGAACACAATACCATGCACGAAGATCGGAAGGACTTTTTTCAAGCTTGTAATGTAGGCCGGGATAGAAGTGGGCAAGAAATAAATTTGGGAAATATGGGTGATTGTAGTCTAAACAGGGAGCTATAAAATGCAATCAATAAACATCCTCGATCCATTATTCTCATTAACAGGAGCACATGCCCAAATTATTCAAGAAACATCCACTACTACTTTTTACATTTTTTTCAACTTCAAACTCTTTTTTTTTTCTTTTCATATCAACTTTTTTCTTATATTATTTTTGAGAACAAACATACTTTCTTTTCTATCAAAATTTTTCTTTGTTGTTCTTCTCTTTTTTTTTTCTTTTTTTTTCAAGCAATAAACCTCCATGCTTATGATTCCTTCTTTTCTCCTTTTCTTTTCTTTCTTACAATTTCACATTCACGCCAAACTCCACTACTTGAAAACACCTCATTTACGACGGAAAAAAATCCGTCGGAAAACCCTCTTAATCTGTCGGAAAAGGCAGTTTCCGACGGAATTCCGTCGGAAACCGTTGTCAGAATTCACTTCGTAGGAATTTTGGCCAATACCGAGGGATTTTCTGTCGGAAATGACCATGCCGACGGATTTTCCGACGGATTTTTATTTGTCAGAGCCTTTGTTTGACCAGAATGGGAAGTCCGTCGCAAGCTTCTGACGGACTGTATTCCGACGGAACGTTTCTCATATTCCGACGAAATATTCCGTCGGAACTGTTTATAAGTTCGACGGTGTATGGGGGTTTTTTATGTGTCCTACGGGAGAGTTACAATTTCCTAGTATGCTCCTTCCTTTGCCTGTACCTGCACAAGTAACGGAAAACTCCGGCTGGGGCTGGGGTGTTCCGCCTCCGAAGATTAAGTTAGAATCTTTCTTAATGAGGAAATAAGACAATAAATGATTCTCGATTTGAGAGCGTTTGCAAGGGGATTTGTGTTTGGTTAGTGGTTGGAAAAAATGAATCCCCCCATAAATGAGGTCTACCCCTGCTATTTATAGTAGGGGAGAAATGTACCTCAATTAGGGTACAAGGACACGTATCACAGGCTGATTAGCCTGTTTACTAACCGTTGATAGGTTGACACGTGGCAAGCTTTTATTTGGCCACGTGTCTAGGGTAATTTTACCCTAAACATCTACCCCTCACAGGTGTGACGTGGCATGTCCACGTGTCACCTGTGAAAGTAACCGTTTCGCCTTCTGCCCCTCTCCTATAAATAGGAGGCATGCCCTCCTCTCTCCTCCACACTTTACATATTTTTCAAAAAATTTCTAAGAGAGCTCTGATACCGGCTGCTAATTTCTTTCAAGCTTTGTTGCATCCGGCAATTTGACATCAAGTACATCCGGCTATCGGATGAGTAGTTTCTCTGCAATTTCTAAGGTGCCGGATCCCTTTCTTCATTCTCTTTTACTTCTTTCGTTTTGAGGATTTTTTTAATGTTTTCCCCATCCGAGTGGTAAGCCACCTGGGGGGTCCTAGACCCATTTCCAAGTTTAGACTACAATATCCTTTCTTCTTCTTTCAAATAACAAGGATTCAAAGCACCCCCATCCGGTATTACACCGCCTGGGTTTTTGTTTTGTCAAGAAATGATTTGAAAAACCCCAACCGGTTTTAAAGCCGGTTGGGTCATCATTCTTGTATTTTCATGACCTTTTCAAATTTTAAGATGCGTTCAATGCACCCCCATCCGGTGACTCACCATCTGGGTATTGTTTGAACATGCCTTTTTGAAACAGGTCTTACTATACCCTCATCCGGTATTTTACCGTTTGGGGTATGGTTGACTTTAAATGTTGCTTGCAGCACCTACATCCGGCATTTTTACCGGATGGGGTATCTCTAACCCAACTTCCTAAATACCGTCTGGGGTATCAGGGAGTGAGCCATCACAACCCCCCATCCGGTTTTATACCGTTTGGGGTACTTCTATCCTACCTCACTGAATACCGCCTGGGGTATTATTCAGTGAACTTTTTAATTTATCTAGCTAAGTTTACAAAAATGTAGGTCATAACCCCTCATCCGGTCTTATACCGTCTGGGGTACTTCTGACCTAGCTCGTTGAATACCGCCTAGGGTATCATAGAGAGCTTTACAATAATCTAGCTAGCCTTTACAAATGCAAATCATAACCCCCCATCCGTTCTTATACCGTCTGGGGTACTTCTGACCTATCTCGCTGAATACCGCCTAGGGTATCATAAAGAGCTTTACAATAATCTAGCTAGCCTTTACAGATGTTTTTAAAGAACCCCCATCCGGCCTTACACCGTTTGGGGTGTTTTTGGGTGAGATAGTGAATAACCGGCTAAGAATTTTTCTTTGTCTTTTTCAGCTTTAAACACTTTGTGGAGTTCCCCGCCTGAGGTGACTTCAAGCCAACTCTTTCAAATTTCTCATTTGAAAGGTACCGCCTACATCCCATATTTGCCACTTTCTTTTATTTCCGGTTGCATAGTATTAGGATATGGACTACACCAATGCACACACGACACAGCCTACGACTGTGGTCAGCCGGTCACCAGGAACGGCTGAGTCTAGGACT